CTTCAACCTGGGCAACAAGAGTGAAACTCCAACTCAGCATCAGCCAACCTGGGTTTGAGTCCTGGCCCCACCACTTCCCAAGGCCGTGACCTCAGACAAGCAGCCAACCTTCTTGAGCCCTCCGTTTCTGGATCTACAGAACGGGGACACCCATAGGACATCTCACCAAACCATGTGGAATCTGTGTGTTGATAAGCACAGCGTGGGCAGGGACGGTGTGCCTGCTGCAGGACGCCCGTGATAACTGTGCTGATGCCATGTGGAGGCTCAGAATCCTCACGCGGGTGGCGTGGGACCACACGGGAGCCGAGGCAGGGGAAGGGTGTCAGCGTGGCCGGGTGGCCCTACCTCGCTGGAGTCCTCCTGCTGGTTGACGACCGTCAGGGCGTCCTCGGAGGCCTGCCGCTTCGCCTCGGCCAGGGCCCGCTCCATCTTGGCACGCTCCGTGGTGATGAGCTCATGCGCTTTGCGCTCTGCGTCCGACACGGCTTTCTGCAGCTCCGACATGGCCTGCCGCTTCACCTCGTTCACGGCCTCTTCTGCAAAGGACACGGGCAGGGCTGGCGGTCACATGGGCCATCCCAGACGGGTCTCTGGACTTCCTAGGCCCACAACCTGGGGACAAGGGCTGTGTGCAGCTGAACACACGTAGCATCTGTGCACACACAGGCACACGTTGATGGCCCTCACGCCTGTGCAGACAAGTGCACGCAAATACATGCAGGCATCCCAGGCATGTGTGTGCAAAGCTGGGTCATGCGGCCAGCACGTGGGGAGCTTTTCAAAGCTTGTTCCCCAGGCGCTGCACCCCTGCAGGGCAATGGCGAGGCCCACCCCAGGGTCTGGTCAGCCAGGGGTGCACCCGGAACCTGCATTCCTAATGCGTGCTGAGGGAGCTGCTGCTGCTGCTCCAGGAATCGTACCTGAGGCACTCGGACAACTCTGCTGTTCCGCCTTCACCTCTGGCCCCACCAGACGCAGCCCAGGAAGCCTCCTCCTCCAGGGCTCTGTGCTGTCACCCCAGACCCTGCTCTGTTATCCTCACTGCACTTGCCATCCTTTAACCTAGCTGGCCTCGGAAGACCACGCTCCCTGACCCCATTGTTTGATCCCGATCTGTGCTAAGGTGGGGCAGGCTCAGAGCAGCTCCAGGGAGAACCGCCCGCCCAGCTGGAGAGGCCAGGTTTCAACTCCACCACTGAGAGAGACCCTAAGACCAGCTGGAGACCCTGGTACCACTGCCCAACCCCAACCCCAACCCCAACCCCAACCCTAACCCCTCTCGCCACCCACAGATCTAGCTCTGCCCCAGCCCCTCCCCCAAGTCTGGTCCCCACAGCATAAGCAAATGTCCCCACAGCCTTGCCCAGCGCCCAGCTCCACGTCTGCCCATGTTCTGAGTCTGTTCTGCCCAGACTCTGGCCCCGCGTGCCTGACGCGCCCAGGCTCCGAGTGTGTGTGCTTTTGCGTGCCCTCCTGGGTATGCAGGGCTGGCACCCACTTTATTCTGCTGGGCAGCCACCGGTCCGTTTCCTGGTAGGCGCAGGTAGCAGCTGTCCTGCCCTGAGTGTGAATCTACTCTGGCCCCTCTGTGAGCCACACAGCGGAATGCATAAAGCCCCACAACTTGAGCCCCCAGACGGAGACAGAAGCTCCTCATAGCTGAGCTGCTGAGGGGCATCTGGGGCCCTGGCCTCCCACAGCACCGCTCGCCGGGCGGCCCCCACTCACCAGCACCGCTCGCCAGGCAGCCCCCACTCACCAGCCTTCCTCCAGATGTCCTCGGGCATGTAGCCGGTGAGGGTCCTTGGCAGGAACTCCCGGGGCACGTCTGAAACGGGGGCCAGCGTCACACAGGATGGGCCACGCGGCTGCCTCTCCCCACCCTGACTGGGCCCTGAGCGCAGGGCACGAGTGTGCGTGTCCCTGGGGGAGGGCCCAGGTACCCCTGGACAAGCTCTGGCTCAGTCGCCAGGCACTCAGGGCAGTGCCCGGGCATGGGGGGCACTGGAGCTGTGGACCTTGGACTCGGCTGGGAGCCGTGTGCATCCTGGGCCTCTCCTGGTTTCAGTATTCATCACCGAGGTGGAGGAGCAGAGACCCTCAGGGCCTCCCAGCTCAGTCTCCGGCCCCCCGGACGCCCTGAGCTCCAGGCTCCTGGGACACCAGGCAGTGTTTCTGTACAAAGTGAAAAAGGTGCCTCTTTCTCAAGTGAAACTGTTTGCCTGGCGTTTCACTGCACTGCCTGCCTGACAGCTCTCAGGTGTCTGCCCCCTCCCCACCCACCCGCCGCACACCTAGCTGAGACCCTTCAGGGCCGGCGGAGCTGCTGCGGGGCC